TTCTTATCTAGAATGGCCTTGAAAGTTTTGGAGTCTCCGTCTCCAATATAATTACCATATTTAACGCCGTACTTTTCCTCTGATCTTAAAAAGATTTCTGTAATCGCATCGACCTCCATTTTTCCGGCTGAGCCCTCGTGATTTTTTGTACACTCTTCCTCGTGATTTATATACCACTCTTCGTATTCTGGAGTGTTCACCTTTTTTTTCCAAAATGTGCATGCATGGCAATAGCTACTTTTGATAACTAAATCGATGACTTTGCCCGAATAGTAGCCTATGACCGTTACAACTCCGTACAGCGATTTGAATCCACGTTTTTTCCACGAGCCATCTCCAGAGACTTTCAAATCTAAAATAGACCTCTCATGTTCTTCATTGAATTTTTTTTCTTCTTCGATAGCTTTCTTGCAGAGACTTTCAAAAACAGATTTTGTACAGGAGTGAATATACGTGATGATATTATTATACGTGCTCTCATTCATTCCTTTACAAATGTCCATGAGGTTGCAGAATAAATTAATACCCTCTCTGCCAACACCTAAGAGTCGCATAACAAACACCATCCGACGATTCACTTCGTATCCAGTGTTGATTAGTGGTCCTGAATTGATGTTTCTCTGACCACAGCGACAAAGTAAAACTATCTTGAAACCGAGGCCTCGATTCCCAGCTTCTTCAAACTTTACATTCTGTTTACAAACACGACAAACAAGGAGCTCTGTCAAGGCTGTAAAAACGGTGAATATTTCAATCAAACGATAGCCATGCAATGGATTCCAGTGAATATCTTCAGCACTAGCATTGGAGAGTTTTCTTGCACTCGTACTTTCACATCCTTCATCTTCACTCTTTTTATTTGAAAACTGATTACCATGGAACTTTCTTTTGCGTGGTTTCGATTGTTTTGGTTCGGCGTGTGTGCCTTTCGGATAGGACATTTCGAATTTGCACTGTCGTTTTGTACAGGCCGAACTTCGGAGCTAAACTGAAAACCGGTTCTGCTCGATGCCAGCGCCAACGGACCCAACGGTTTCGACTAAACGTAACAATAGAAATAAAAGCCATCTACCAGGGGTGCGTTCCAAAACCTACAGTAAAACTATAATTACATCTCTATACGTTTTGGATCGCAGCCCTGAAAGGTAAAATCCCCGCTCCGGGTGAGTATACCTGCTGCGTGCTATTAGAGCCTCGACGCTGCTCAAGAGATTTGTTGCGCTCGGAGGCCATAACTTCCGAACGGCTGCGAATTTCGATTTAAAACGTTGGGAACATATTCTTACAATGTTAAATAAACATTTTATGCAAAAAAAAAAAATTCGATTTTTTGAAAGTTCTAATTGGATTTCCCCCCTTAAGACGTCTTTTACATACACGTGTTGTGTGGGATGCTTATGAAAAGTTTACGACACATACAGTTTTGGCGATATAAACTTTTATGAAAGGTTGTGCATTATGGTTCAGAATAACAATAATATTCAAAGTTATAGCAGTTTCAGTAAAAGCGTTTGAAAAAAGTGTGTTGCTGGTTAAACATGATTCCGGTAGTCATATGAACATGATTTGTTGTAGTTGTATATAAAATAAAAAACTAGAAAATTTTTAATTTGTATGAGTGTGGCTTATGGACGTAAGAATATATGGGCGGAGCGAATTGTTGCGGGAATAAAGTCCAAGGAGTGAGGGGAATGATTGTATGTAATGAAGTTGACAATGTATGTAATGAAGTTATTTTTATACATAGACAATGGATACAAAACTCCGACAGCAACATGGTCGCGACGATGTAATCCTCTTACTTTTTTGGTTTCATAGCCCCTCTATAATGACACCTTTCGCTCCGTCCATTTATTATTACGTCCATGTTGTGGCTATATGAACTAGAATATCGTATGAGCTAGAATAAATAAAAAATAAAAATGAAAATAAATAAAAAACATTGAAAACAGAAAAAATCGCAATATTTAAAAAAATCATTTTATTTTTTTGACAAAAAAGTCGTTAGTTTGTTGAGTTGCAAAATTTGAATTTTGAAAATTATAATTTGTTTGAGTCTAAAAAATTTCAACGCAAACGAAACGTCTGGACCGTTCCGCGAGAACGCGAAAACAACTGAGAAAGGAATGAGAGGAAAGAACAGCCTGTGTGATCGAGCGAGAGTGAGAGATTTCTCGATATAGAAGCAAAAGAGACGGAAAGACAGGATTGCGGAAAAGAATAGAGAACTTTCACTTGCACTTATGTATTATATTATAATGTTTAATTAAACTAATACTGAGTTCACTCGTTGAACTGAACCGTTTAAATGTTTAACATTTGTTTAACGTATGGAGCGACCAATTGTAAAGAAAATCGTCAGTGTGAGAACGAGCGAGCCAATCGCGACATTGCTGTAACGGTCTGTGCGACAAATTTGCTAACAGCTCGCGTTTGCACGCGAAAATCAAGGCTGAACGCTACGAATTAGCAAGTCTTGTGAAATTGATAGAGATCCGCTTCGTGGAAGCGTCTTGAATCCCTGCGAAGCAGCGACATATCTGAGCGAGATGCCGTCGATGAGGCTTACGAATACAGTCCACGCGATGGCACTATATGAAGGTTCTGTGGCACTTGATAATGTTTTCGCGTACTTGGTGGAGGAACTGCTCCCGATTGTGTCCAGGAATATGCACTCAGTGTCCGAAGGCTAAAAGTAAATGGTTGAGATCAGCAATAGCGTTTCGATGGACGGATAAACCGAATTTTGCGTGTTTCTCATTTGCAACTCATGTAAAAAATCGATCGGCATCACGTTGGGATAGACGATTGCAGGATTCTCCTAGTGGGAGACAGACTGCGTGCGAATAATGAATTTTCGCGACACGCGCTCAGGAACGGAATCCGACGTTTACCGATTACTCGGTTAATACACGGAATGCACGAATTCCCTATACATTATTAGATCCGATCTTTAACATGACTTGATTTTAGTTTATGCGAAAACAGAACATGTACTGAATATATCCTCAAAACTTCAAATCACTTAGTTTATTAGTTTTTGAGATATTGTGTTCGCTAGTTCGAAAAATGACGTTTCAAAAAAAAACGCGTTTAAAGTTTTAGGTACTGTTTTAGAATATATAACAAACAATAAATCATATTTACAATTAATCAGTTATCAGGGTCATAAAGGATACTTTCTTCTTCTTGGTAAAATTCTTGTAAAACAGCATTTATCTTCCTACGTACTATCCAAACTTCCTTTGTAGCTTCTAAGTATCTTTTCTCAGCAAACTCGAATTTTGTGTTTATTCCGATTATCGGTATAATTTTTTAGTTCTGAGCCAATTATAGTACCCATTGTATCAAATATTTTTAAAACAGCATAAAATCCTTTGTTCCTGTAGTTCAGTAAGCTGCAATTTGAATCATTTTTGCTCCAAAATATACTCGTCAACAAAATTATTGAATAGATAAATTCATGTCAAAATTTCGCACAATTTTAAATGGGCATAATAGCGCGAAACATTATCGTATTTGAAATTTTTTTTTATTATAAAGAGTGAAGTCTGTAGTTTAAGGAGCATTCATCCGATTTTGAATTTACTCTCTGCCCTTCCCGCAGTCTTTTCAGAAGTAAAGACGTGTTGCGCCTCCAAAAAATTGCACAATTTGACGTATCTTACGAGATGAACTAAATTTTTTTCGTAAATTTTATGTCATAAAATATCGACATTTTCTTGCAAATAAAAAATAAAGAAGAGATGTGCTAATGGTAATGTTAATATTGGTGGTAACTGATTAAAAATATACAGGTAACTTTGATACGCCATACAACATCGCGGAAGAAAGTCGTGCATACCTCTTTTTTATTTTTTATTTGTAAGGAAATGTCGATATTTTAGGATAATTATCGTAAAATTTGTGAAAAGAATTCACTCTACTCAATAGAGTGCGTCAATTTAAGCGATTTAAAAAAAAATGCATAGGTAACTTTGACATATGTCGCAACTTCGCGAAAAAAAATCGTACAAATTCGCTTTTTTTTAAATTGCAGGAGAAAGTCTATACTTTACGATGGTTACCATGAAATTTACGAAAAAAATTTAGTCCACCCTGTAGGATACGACAAATTGTGCAATTCATTGGAGATGCAACACTTCTTTATTTTTGAAAAGACTGCGGGAAGGAGAAATTAAATTCAAAATCGGACGAATGCTTCTTAAAGTATGGACTTCACTTTTCAAAATAAAAAAAAATATTTCAAATACGATAGTGTTTAATGGGCGCTATTATGCCTATTTAAAATTGTGCGAAATTTTGACATGAATTTACCTATGCGATAATTTTGTTGACAAGTGTATATGGATTTAGAATATATGTGTAATCCTTTTAAAATTTAAAGCACGCCGCTACATTTCAAGGCTTACAACATTGCCAAATTTTTAAATTTAATTGTAATACTTTAGAAATATATTTTTGAGATGTCAAACTGTAAGAAAGTGTAAAAAATATCAATTTTTTCGACACGTCAATGTAGGCTCCTTAAAGCAAAAAGAAAGTTCGGAATATTTTACAGGTCTGTTTGATCGATTATAAGTGTTATTTTAAATATCTTTTTATTTCAACATATTTTAAAAGAATTTTGAGTGTGTATTTTTTTGTTTCTGATGTCATCAATTATGAGTTTTGTGGCGAGAAATTAGAAGCCTTAAGATCGATTAAACTCCTTTAAATTATAGTTATTTCTGGAATCAATATTTTTCTGTTTTTCTAACAAAAATTAATAATAGTAATGCATATAAAAATAAAAACAATGATGTTTTAGATGACATTGGTTATATAAATAGGATTATTGAATAGTATATAAATGATATACAAATATGATTATATTAACATTGTAAATAGCATTTACTATAAAAATAGTTTTCCTGCCTACTTTCTTCATAATTTACGAGATGATGTATGCAATTATGAAATATTTTTTGACTTTCTCGACACATTTAACTTACAAGTATATGAAACGCTTCCAGATTCGCTTTTTTTATCATAAGTATGGCGTGCACAGCTCATCTCTCGCGCTCTATGTGGTCCAAATGAAGCGACACGGGAATCAGACCAATATATTATGGTGGTCCTATGGGAAGGGAAACAAGATCTGGGAAAGCGTAGTCATCGCTCTACCTGACATTAGATATAGGTGAGTATGCAATAACAATTAAACACTTTAAATCTAAATTAAAACTAAAAATTATATGTACAATTTAATATTTTGACCGGAATTATTGCCATAGCATATCCAATTTTAACGATTAGTTCTTTGCAACGGGAAATTAAATCTAAATTCGAAATGTATAACGTGTTTGCAGATATTTCTTGCAGTTTGAAGCGAGCAGGGGCTATTCTTCGAAGAACGACATAGCGATTGATGATGTTTCTTTAAGCCGAGAATGTTTCGGCATTGGTAACTACAGCGAACATCTCTACATTATTATATTTCACCGGTTATACACGATATTTATAGTTTTTTTCTTGCAGGAGTTCCATCAGAAATCGTAGGTGATTTCAATTATTACAACCCCAATATAGAGCTCGAGACGGTGCCGCCGCAGCATCCAGATTTTGCGAACGAGACATGTATGTATGGCGTATCAATTAAATTTCTCATTGAATTTCCAAGTGAATTAAAGATCGTCTGTTGATTATATTGGTCTAAAAAAAAATTGTTTTGTCACATGGATTAACCTATTATAGTCCATAGATAACCCAGAAATATTATCTAGATAACATCTGGAATAATATATCTAGATAACGTATGGATAGCATGTCTAGATAACATATCTAGATAACATATGGATAACATATGGAATCTTATATCGTAAAAAGAACAATTTCTAAAAAAAAATTGAAAAAATTAATTTTTTATAACAAAATTGTTTAAACCATTAAGTTGCAAAATAATTTTTCGGGAAAATGATATCGCTATTTGATTCTACGTAAAAAATTATATGTTATCTAGATAATATCTCTACTGGATTAACTATGGGTTATAATGGGTTAAATTATATGATTTATATAATTTTTTATGTTGAATTAAATATGCAACCATATTTTGTCTATTATCCAGAGTTTTTTAATAATGTGATTTTTAAATTTTAAGAAAATTGATTTTTTATATATACAGACGTGGCATAATTAATTTAAAATGTAGAAGCTAATGATTTTCTGCTGTATTTTTGACTTCGTAGGAAAAAAAACATCATATATAAATTTTGTTTCTATATGACCATATGTAGTTATGCATAATATATGTTTACAACAAAAAGGGATACTGTTATATAAATACAAGGAAAGTAAATGCTTATACTTTTGATAGTACATAATATCGATGTTTAATTTAATAAAAGTATGTCTTTCTTTTCCCATTAAACATTTTTTTTTGCGTAAACATATATGATTATGTGATCATATAAGATATCTATATGAGATAGGGATAAAATTTGTGTATAATTTATATGTAATTATTTTTTCTATCTCTTTTAAAAATAAAAAATGTTACATCAGTTTTTCTCATATTTTAGGCTTCATTGAAGAAAACTCACGTAAAAGGAAAAAAAATCATTAACTTTAACGAATTTTTATAAACAAATATATTGCATAAATGTAGGAATTGTTTTAAAGCTACATAATATTGATAGTGTTTTTCTATATTAAAAATTTATAATTAATAATAATCTCTTATTCCCTCGCTGAGAATGTCCCATATACAATATATTAATTTTAGATGACTATCGCAAAAACGATAGATGATAGAGAAATTTTTAGTTCATTTTTCAATTTTGCACATAAAAATGCATAAGAAGCACATTATAAATTCCATATGACAAATTATTTGTTGACCAATGCTATTGACATGTCGACTGCCATGTTGGTCATCGGTGTTCGGCTCTATACCCTTACGAAAAAAAACCCCAAATTTTGAAGGTTAACCCTCAAATTTGTGGGTTAACCACCAAATTTGAAGGTTGATCACAAAAGTTGGGTGTTAACCCTCAAAATTTAGGGGTAGACCTTCAAAATTTTAGGGTAGACCCAAAATGATTCGGTGTCAATTCCCTTATTTTGACTCTCAATGAGTAGTGTTGAACGTGAAACTTTCAGGGTAGACCCCATGATGACTCGGTGTCAACCCTCCAATTTCGGTGTTGACTTTTAATGAGTATTATTGAATCTGAATCTTTCAGGGTAAATCTCAAACGATTCGGTATCAATCCCTAAACTTTAATACTCACTCCCAATTTTAGGTGTTAACACTCAATCTTCAGATTAAACCTCCAAATGTTTCGGTGCCAACGAATAAGTTTTGATGTTAACCCCGAACGGCAAATAACTAAAATAAATAAATCTAAATAAATTCCAAAGTTTTATTTGCACGAGTAACAGTTATCTGTATATGTTGATCAAACGTAAAGTCGGATAATAATCAAACTATATGAAAATCATTTGTACTATTGAGCGTAACTTTGAAGCCTCTTAACTCGAAAAGTACTTAACGAAAAAATACTTAAGTATAGTGTTTTGGAAAACTCTCGAGATAAGCTATAAGAATATACAATAAAAAATGGGGGTATCCATTTAAAAACATCATTGTGACCTTGACCTGATCTTTATGACGCAACTCAAGGTCAAACTGCTAATATCATAAAATAGATCTTTTTAAACCCTACAACTTTTGTATTTAACATTTTTTTATACAACGCTTTGTTTTCGAGATATTCAGGTGTTCCGGTATATAATATTCACCCTGTATAAGGTATCCCAGATCACCTTCACAATCTCTCACGAAGACGTAGAGCAAATTGAGATAAACACAAAAGTCCCATATCGTTTTGCTATTCGTTATTCTTAATAGTTTTTGAAAAATTAATTTTAGAAAATTGCATAAAGAAAGAAGGAGCACTCGAGCTAAAGTCGCTTGAAGCCTAGCGCGTTTCAGTTGGTTAAGAAACAGTTGGCGGCGCGCGGCGAGGGGAAGAAAAACGCATCACTGCTTGTGTTTATATTGCTGCGATCCCACGTCTTGCCATACTGCCAACAGGCGTGGAATTGTGAAAGATTAAGGAAAAGCGTGTGCTGAATGGTAGAGGATAGAGCGCACGAATCATAGTGCGGTCCAATAATATAGCGCGGGGATGTCGGCGCGTGGCGATTAAGAAACGACGCACCACTATCTATATTTATATCACTGCGTTCTTACATCTTGCCGCATCGCGCCGAGGCAAGATGTAGGAACGCAGCGATATACTCACACGGCGTGTTATATTGCTGAAATAAGAAAATCTACGGTTATGATACATAAATATTTCGCCAACATGTGACCTGCAATATTAGTCAGGAATATATTTAAATTTTATCTGTAACGTTTCATGTACAATATTGCATTCGCAATATTTCTACAATATTCCTGAAAGATAGCAAAGTTACCGTAAGATTGAATTTATTAGGACCTTGAATAAATTCTCGCAATTTTTCGTGAAAATTAATGCTTTATTTAAAAAAAGTCGTAAAAAATATGTCACTGAAAGTATTGTCCATCGCTAGCCACTACTTTTTCTTATCTTTCTGCCAGTATTTCACCTCGGAAAAACGACACGTCTTTTGAGGCTATCCAAAAGTCGACCCAATTTTTGGTATCTTCATAAGAATGGAAGTGCTGCTCAGCCAGGCCATGTGCCATCGATCGGAACAAGTGATAATCGAAAGGGTAATGTCTAGTGAATACGGCGGGTGGGGTACGACTTTCCATTTAAGCGTTTCCAAGTAGGTTTTCACCGGTTGTGCAACATGTGGTCAAGCGTTGTCATGTTGCAAAATCACTTTGTCGTGTCTCGTATAGCGGCCGTTTTTCTTTCAATGTTCGGCTCAAACGCATCAATTGTAGGCGATAGCGATCTCCCGTGATGGTTTCGTTCTGTTTGAGCAGCTCATTATAAACTGCACCCAGCTGATTCCACCAAATGCAGAGCAGAAGCTTCGAACCATGGATATTCGGCTTTGCTAACGATGAGGATGCATGGCCGGGCTTACCCCACGATTTTCTACGCTTAGGGTTATCGTAGTGTATCCACTTTTCATCGCTAATCACGATACGATGCAAAAAATCTTTCTTTTTCTGCGTTGAAGCAGCGATGTGAGTTACTACGCGCAGTCGGCACACATCTCGCGAAACGACTTACTACGCGAGTTAAGGGGTTTTCCTAGTATAACAGGACCTAAAGTAGGGTAATTTTTAGAAACTTTTAAAATAGAAATGATAAAACCAATTGATATGACACTTTTTGTATGTGTCAAGATAAGTTAAATAATTTGAAAGCATCCATTGTTTTCTGTCGTCAGATCTTAGTCGTTTGTCGCGAGAGTAACCCAGATAGCACAGGATGTCCTATGGACGTCCATTTTATGTCCATTTTACGTCCGCACATCTATGGACATGCAATGGAAGTCCATACGATATCCGATATGGGACATAAATGTCTTAAGTATAAAATTCGACTATAGGCATGATGAGAACGCGCGCTATCAACGCTACATATCATTCTATCCCCAGGCAACAACGTCACATCATTTTCATTTCGGTAAATGATGATTACCAGTCCTAGACGTCATGTAACCAATAACTGACATTTAAAAAACGTGAACAATTTTGACATGATAATAACGTCATTTAAAGATGTCTATAATACGTTTTTGAGAGGTCATTTTTAATCAACTCGATAAGCAAAGAATGTGACAGATTTTTATCTAATTTTCATTTATATCAACTGTGGTGTATGTAACCAACAGATTATTATTTATACACGTTGTTTTTTTATTTTTAATGTGCTTGCATCTCCAGCATTTGGCTCTTAGAAATAAACCTTATAGAACTTGTCCGACCATTTCTTACTCACGAGCATTGCATCGTTGCAATTATCCAGTTAGTATTAGAACCTTGAATAAGTTTTCGCTGATTTTTCGTGAAAATTAATGCTTTATTTAAAAAAAGTCGTAAAAAACATGTCACTGAAAGTATTGTCCATTGCTAGCCACTACTTTTTCCCATCTTTCTGGCAGCATTTGAATTCCACGTCGGAAAAACGACACGTCTTTTGAGGCTATTCAAGAGTCGACCCATTTTTTGGCATCTTCATAAAAATGGAAGTGCTGCTCAGCCAGGCTATGTGCTATCGATCGGAACAAGTGATAATCGGAAGGGGCAATGTCTGGTGAATACGACGGGTGGTGTAAGACTTTCCATTTAAGCGTTTCCAAATATGTTTTCACCGGTTGTGCAACATGTGGCTGAGCGTTGTTATGTTGCAAAATCACTTTGTCGTGTCTCTGCTCGTATAGTGGCCGTTTTTCCTTCAATGGCTCAAACGCATCAATTATAGTCGATCTCCTGTGATGGTTTCGTTCGGTTTGAGCAGCTCATAATATACTAAGCTGATAACTAAACCCAGCTAATCCCACCAAATGCAGAGTAGAAGCTTTGAACCATGGATATTCGGCTTTGCCGACGATGTTGATGCATGACCGGGCTTACATCACGATCTTTTACCCTTAGGGTTATCGCAGTGTATCCACTTTTCATCGCC